TTGTCCACCTCATCTAGACTGTTGTACTTTTTGCATATAAATGTTCATAGTGGGGCCTCCCTGGTGGCACAAGGGCTTAAGATGCAACCTATGAAGCTGTCCACAGCCACTGCAGCACGTGCCAGGGAGCTGCTCACATGGTGCAGCAGACCTCTCTTGACTCGCCTGTGCTCCCCTCAGCAGTGTGTTTCAGTCAATCTGCCTGTTCTGTTCCCCATTCTGTCTCTGGTGAATCCTCTCACCCCCCGCCTCCCCACACCTCTGGCCTGTATCCCAGTTCTTATATGCATAAATAAATCTTTAAAAAAAAATGTTCATAGTGATCTCTAATTATCCTTTGGATTTCTACTGTGTCTGTTGTAGTTTCTCCACTTTTATTTATAATCCTACTTATCTGGGTTTTCTCCCTTTTTTGTGACCTTGCTAAGGGTTTGTCTAATTTATTTTTTCAAAGTAGCAGATTTTGGTTTCATTGACCTTTTGGATTTTCTTTTTTATTTCTATTTTATTTCATTTATTTCTGCTTTAATTTTTATTATTTCCTTTATTCTACTTGGTTTTGGATTTTTTGTTGTTCTTTTTCTAGTTCTTCAAGATGGGAGATTAGGTGGTTTCTTTGGGTTATTTCTTCTTGATATGTGCCTGCATTGCTATATACTTTCCTCTTAATACTGCTTTTGCTGAATCCCATATGTTATGGAAAGTTGTGTCATCTTTATCCTTTGTCTCAAAGTTTTTTTAAAATTTTTTTCTTTGATTTGCTCATTAACCCAGTGGTCTCTCAATAATATGTTGTTCACTCGCCATGTAATGGGCAATCTCCTTTGCTTTCTCTTCATAGTTGATTTCTATTTTGATGCCTTTATAGTTTGAGAAGATAGTTGGTATGATTTCAGTCTTCGTGTATGTGTTGATATTTGTCTTGTGACCTAATATGTGGTCAATCCTGGAGAAAATGTGTATTCAGTTTTCTGGGGGTGCACTGTCTGATAGATGTCTATTAGGTACATCTGGACTAGATCTTAATTTAGGGCTATTGTGTCCTTGTTTAATTTCTGTCTTATTGATCTGTCCTTTGGTGAGAGTGGGTGTCGAAGTCTCCTATCACTTATGTATTTTCTCCAGTGTCTGTTTTCTGAGGTGATAGTAATTGTCTGATATATTTTGGTGCTCCCTCATTTGGTGAGTACATATATTAATGAATGTTATGTCTTCCTGGTGTATTGTTCCCTTGATCACTATATAGGAACCATCTATGCCCCTTGTCACATATTTTAGTTTGAAACCTGTTTTATCTGCTATAAGTATGGCTACCTCTGCCTTATTTTGGGAGCCATTTGCTTGTACAACTGGTTTCCAACCCTTTGCTTTCAATCTATGCTTATCTTTAGAGCTTAAATACATTTCTTGGAGGCAGCAGAAGATTGGATTCTGTTTTTTAATCCAGTATGCTACTCTGTGTTTTTTCATTGGTTATTATATTATAATCACCTATATTAACATTTAGGGTGATTGTAGATACATGGAAGTCTGTTATTGCCATTTTGGTGATCATTTTGTGGTTCTGTTCACTGCCTTGTTCCGTTCTTCCTGTTTATTCCTCTGTTGATTTAGATTTTATGGTTTCTCTAATATTTCTTGGAGGGGGTTTAGTAATGTATTTCTGAAGATTTTGTCTGAGAAGGTCCTTATTTTCCCTCATAAAGGAAGGAGAGCTTTGCAGGATAAAGTATTCTTTCTAATTTAAAAAAAAAAGATTTATTTTATTTATTTATACATATAAGAGCTGGGGTGTAAGTCAGAGGTGTGTGTGGGGGGGGAGGGTGAGAAGAGTCACCTGAGACAGAGTAGGGAGCAGAACAGGCCGATCTACTGAAATACACTGCTGAGGAGAGCAGCGGGTGAGACAGGAGAGGCCTGCTGCACTGTGTGGATTAGCTCCCTGGCTAGGGATTTTACTCATGCTACAGTGGCTGGCAATAGCTTCATAGTGCTGAGTCTTAACTGTTTACACCACTAGGAAGGCCCCAGGATAAAAATAATCTTGGCTGGCATTTTTTGTCTTGGAGTTTTTTGAATATGTCACTCTATTTTCTTTTTGCCCATAGTGTTTCTTCATAGAAGTCTGGTGTCAGCCTAATCAGTTTTCCTTTATAGGTTACCTGTTTCTTTCCCCTCCTTAGCTTCATATTTTTTCTTCTTCTTGGACTTTTGGAAGCTTTACTATATGTACCTTGCTGTAGTTTTCCTTATGGCAGTTTGGTGCTTCCTGTATGTCAATTTTCATTTCCTTCTTCAGGTTTGGGAAGTGATTTTCAGTTATTTCCTTGAATAGTTTCTCAGTTCTCTCTCTTCACCTTTTGGGATTTCTATAAGTCTTGTATTTCCTTTCCTCATGATGTCAGATAAATCTCAGAGTTCTTCTTCATTCTTTTTCCTTTGTTTCAGTACTGATTTGTTGTTCTACTTCATCTATTCTATTTTTGTGGCCTTTTTTCCAGAATTTTAAAAATTCCTGCATTCCTTTACCTCTTATTTAAGGATTCAATCTCATTTTTCTATTGATTGATTATATTTCTCATTGCATTCTTTTCCTTCCTGCTTCTTTTAGTTATGTTAATTAAGATTATTCTGAAGTCTTTATTTGTCAGCCAGAGAAATTCTTTATGTCAGTGTTGTTGGGTTCCTGAAGCTGATTTTCTTTCTGTGGTCTGTTGTTCCCAGGAGGGCCTGCTTGACCACACTTGTATATTTCTTTCTACCCATTGTTTGCTTTCGTGTTTGTTCTTAGTGTAGCACCACATGGCCACCGGTGCCCACTGGCATGACTTTGGTTTTCTTTTACCAGGGCCTGTATAGATTTAGCTGGAGCTTGGGTTGCTGTGGGTGTTGGGTAGAGATGGTGGCAGATGCTCCTGTTCTTATCCCCTCAGCTCCCACCTATCAGACCTCTTCTGATGGATGGATCTGCATGCTGTCTGGGCCATTGTTGCAACTGAACAGGTTTGGGGCAGGGTTCCCATGGTACCCATTGACCAGACTGCTGCTGCTTGCAGGAGGAATGTCACAGTACTCTTACCTTGGTGTGGGTGTATCTGCACACTGTATGGGGCACTTTGGCAGCTGTATAGGGGCAGGGGCTCCTGTGGTTTCCTTGCACCAGATCACTTGGGTTATCCAGAGGACCCTGATGTAAGGCCTGACACCATGAAGCTCCGATTGTGGCCATGTCTGCTGGCGGGTGCAGCAGTCTGAGTGGAATGTACTTCCTAGTGTAGCTGGGGACAGCTGAGGTTCCCTGTTGCAGGGCATGGCAACCACAAGGTTCTGGTTGTGGCCTGGTCTGCTTGGAGGTTGGCTGGTTGAGTGATATGGCTGGGCTGAGGGCTTAGCAGGTGCTGGTGACTGGTGTTTTGGCCCTGTTCACTAGGTGGCGCCTGAGGGCTGATTGGGATGTACCTCCCAGCAGGGGGTTTACTCCTGAGTTGTATCTCAGGGAAAAGAAAAAAAAAAAGTGTCTGCTTTTGTGGAGCTGGTGGCTGGTGCTGAGGCCTGATTTGCTCACCTGTGTATTTTTGTGGGTTCCAGATATAGTAGGGTGTGGTACTGGGAGTTCCAGGCTGGAATTCAGTCTGGGCTGTAGAATATTGGCTGCCTTGGAGGGCTAGGCTTCCCCGTTCAACTAGGTGCCCAGGGAGGGATGGACGGCTCCTTTTTTTGCTGCCACCCCGCCCCTCACTTAGAGTTCTTGGGCGTCTTGGAAAATTGCTGGTGTCATATAGATGGTTCCAAGTGTCTGGATTTTGCTAAAAGCTTATTATCAGTCCTTGTTTTAGTTGTTTTTATGAGAGGTTTTGATCCCAGCCTCTCTTTATGGCCATGTTGTGGATGTCATACTATAGTATACAATTTTTTAACTGATATCATTGCTGCCTTTTAAGACTTAAATAATATATTTAACATTTTATATCTTTCTCCATCAATTTTGGAGAGTATATCTTTACTTCTCACTTTGTGAGAATATCACCACTCTCTCTACATTTCCTCACCGTTATCATTCCACCTTCTTTCACTTTTAACATTTGTATTTTTGGCTTTGTTGATTTCGAAGGATGAAATCTAAAAGGAGCATCTCATTGATTGTGACTGTTATTTAATTCTGTGGATAATAATGTGCCGCGGACCAGCACAGCAGTAGACGATGAGGCCGTCTCAGGGTTGAGAGACTGCGCAGGGTGGTCAGGGATTCGGTTAAAGAAATGACAAACAGACACTCTTCAAGAAAGTGTAAATATGAGTGCACTTTATTTTAGTCAGTGGTCAGTATATATATGTTTTTTCTAAAGGCATAGGATCGGTAAACATCAAAGAAATCAGCTTGCTCATAGGTTTAGCTTATCATTGACAGGGCAGTGATTTATGTCCAAAATACATCTGGACCTAGCTGCATTCCTAAGTAGACAGGCTATTAACTCTTTCTTATATTCTTGTTGTACTAACTACTACTACTACTTACTTATGTTTACTCATAATTAATTGTCATGGGTGAATTTATATTATAAAGCAGTTAATATCAAAGGTACTAAAGTCAAGCACATAATAGAAAGATTATTAAACTAATAATTCTATTATAACACAGTGTTTAGTAATGTTTCATTTGCATTAGCCTAATTATTAAATTACGTATGTTTTTTAATTAGCAATCAATGACCAGAAAAAGGAAAGATTTTAGAGAGACAGTTGTAGCAGAATAAAGTTTGTGGGCCTTGAGAAAGCGAGATAAGTTTCCAGGTGGTCAGCATTTCTTTTAATCATCTTTGTGGCAGCTTCTGGTGGTCGTTATCTCTTGGCAGGCATTCGGCTTCTCTGCATCTTAGGGAGTTTGCTGTTCTCCCCCTGCGCGCATGGTTCCTTGCCCACGCCGGACCTCAGGGACCATGGCAACAGCCATTAGCCCTGAGGGTCACTGCAGGGGGAGGTGCAGCAATAATGGTATTTCTCTTCATTTTTCCATCTGCTGGCTTTCTTAATTCTATTTCCTCAGGTATTCTTGTATTTGAGTGTGATATCTTTTCATGGTTTTGGTTTCCTTCAATTGTTTGGTAATACTGCTCATATTGATTTGAGATTCCTTGGCAGTCTTCTGTGAAATACTGTGTCACACAGAAATACTTTGTTTACTATAACCTGACTATGTAGTAACTGATGGAAATGTTTTACAATGACTGTGTTGTCGACCACTGAAACTCTATTTTTCTTCAGTTTTAGTGATTGTATGCATTGTTCCTGGGGAGGTGGGGAGAAGTGAAGATATTTTGGAACTTGGGGGGAAGCCAACTGCTTGATAGTCCTACTGTTCACTTGCAGGATGCTTCCACAACTTGCGTTTTTGTGCATTTTGATATGTTGGTTTTGCTTCATCCTTTTTGCTGTGTTTTTCAGAGATTCTTCATAATTTCAGGTCACCTAAAACTGCCCCTTATTTTCTAGGACACTTTTATTGCATAAGAAAAATATGTATGCATTTTCTTATTTCTAGATAATATATGTAAGTCCACAGGTAACTTTTTTGGGATTTGTGGTATATAAAAATTACAATATATTTACATACTATGTATAGATTTATAGTAAAATTTATATAATAGATATCTATATATAAATAAAATTTCCAGGGATTTATAATAGAAGTGGTGGCTGTAGTTTGTATTTAATCCTCCATCTTGATATAGTCGTTGCTTTGTTGCATGGCATTTGTTCCATGGCATTTGTTCATATTATTTATGGACTCCTTAGATGTCTGTCAGTTACAATACTGTAAGCTTCTTCAGAGTTCCTGGCATGTAAAGCATACTTAATAAATATTTGTCAGGTAAATAAAAAAATTATTAGAATTGTAATTAAAATAGTAAAACCCTAGTCTAATGCTTATCATATAATGCTCTTAAAGTATGAGTCATTGTTTTCAGACTTTCTTTCCCTATCTAAATTATACCAGTGTATTTTTTTTAAAGATTTATTTATTTATTTATACAAGCACTGGGTACAGTCAGAAGCGTGGGAGGGCGAGATAATTCACCAGAGTCAGAGCAGAGAGCAGAACGGGCAGACTGAGGGGAGCAGCGGGCAGCAGGAGAGGTCTGCACACCATGTGGGACCCTCACCCGGTGGCTGGGGATCAAACCGGTGCTGCAGAGGCTGCAGGCAGCTTCGCAACCCAGCACTCAACCGTTGAGCCACCGGGGAGGCCCACCAGTGTATTTTTTTAATATTTCCTCAGAAGATGTGTTTTTAAGTCTGTTAATTTTTTGCTATTGTTTTTCTCAAGACAATTTCTCTTAAATTATAAAGTTCAAAGCAGAATATAACTAATGAATAACTGGTACTTTTTTATTTTCTGTGGATTATAATACTGAATATAGACAGAGGATTAGATATTTTCTCAAATACCCCTCTCAACCAGTTTGGAGGAGGTATGAATCTTTTAAAAATTGTTTTCTAACTTCTCTTTTCCAGATGAATATGAAAACAGGAAAAGGGTGGGTGGATATTGGAAATGCTGTGATTGCTGATGAATTTTTTCAAGCTGCAATGGCTGTAAGTTACTAGTGATTTTTAACTGTGGCAATTACAGTAACTGTTGTGGTTAGTATCATTAAATTTTGTTTAATTTGGATTTATTTTCCAGAATCTGGAGAAATTATATATTAAATTAATGCAGAGGAGCTTTCCTGAGACCCAATTGACTATGCAGAAGATTACCGTGGAGAGGGACCTCTTGAAAGTGTTGTCTTATCAAGCAGAGTCAGTAGGTATCATAGTCACTAGAGTCTCTCAGTGGGGCATTTTGTGTATGTAAATACAAATGTGATAAGATGTAACCACTATAAGAAAGTCAGGTGTCATTTGCCATTTATGGGCTATTATATTTGACCTTTTGTCTGTTTTATATCTGTAGGTAATATTACTAATGTTGATTGGTATCTCTGGGATGTATGAGGTTGAAAAGACTGACAAATAGTTAAACAATTTTAAACCACTGCATATAATGGCTGTCATTTATTTATGTCAGTGCCCTCTATTTGAAATACCTGTCTCTGTGACTTTCTTTTTTTTCTTAAAGATTTATTTATTTATGCATATAAGAACTGGGGTATAGGCTAGAGGTGCAGGGAATGAGAGGATTCACCAGAGACAGAGTGAGGAGCAGAACAGGCAGATCTACTGAAATACACTGCAGAGGGAAGCAGTGGTCGAGACAGGAGAGGTCTGCTGCTCCATGTGGGTTAGCTCCCTGGCTGGGGATCGAACTCATGCTGCGGTGGTTGGTGATAGCTTGATAGTGCTGAGACTTAACCCCTGTGCCACCATGGAGGCCCTATTTTCATTTTTAACATTATTATTGAAAGATAAATCATATTGCTATAAAATTCACATACTTAAAGCATATAATTTAATGGTTTTAGTATATTCACAGAAATGTGCAGTTACATTCACATTTGCAGTTACATCCTATTGCTTCTGATGCAACCTTAGCAACTACTAATCTATTTTCTGTTTCTATAAATAATCTGTTTTGGATTTCATATAAGTGAAATCATTACATATGGTCTTTCGTGATTAGCTTATTTCACTTAGCTTGTTTTTAGTGTTCATGTATGTTGTAGCAAGTTATAGAATGTATCAGTACTTCATTTTTATTATCAAATAATCTACCACCATGTGGGTACACCACATTTTGATTCTCCATTAATTGTTGATGAATATTTAGGTTGTTGCCAATACTGGCTTATTATGAATAATTCTATTGTGAACATTCATGTATAGTTTTTCTGTGTGTACATCGTTTGTATTTCTCTTGAGATATCTACCTATCTATTATATCATGAGTAGAATGGCTGAATAATATGGTAACTCTGTCTTTAACCTTTTGTGAAACTGCCAGACTCTTTTCCACAATGGCCATACCATTTTATATCTCACCAGTAATGTCTGAGGGCTCCAGTTTCTCCATAGCTAAGACTTTTATAGTTATAGCACTTACATTTAGATTTATACAATTTCTTTTTTTTTAACAATCAATTTCAGAGTAATTTTTGGGTCTGACGTGAGGTAGGGGTCCAGCTTCATTCTTTTATATGTGACTATGCAGTGGTCCCAGCACTATTTGTTGAAAAGGCTCTTCTTCCCCTCACTGAATTGTCTTGGCACCCTTGTCAAAAACAATTGATCATAAATATGAGGGTTCATGTCTCAATAACATTAGGATATTATTCCATTGATCTGTCTGTTGTCCTTATGTCAGTACTACCCTATCTAGATAACAGTAGCTATATAGTAAATTTTGAAATCAGAAAGTGTCTTTTTGTGACCCAAGGTCACAATTACTTACTTTTGTATTTTAGTCTAAGAGTTTTATAGTTTCTTATGGTTTTTAGTTTCTACATTTAGTCTGTGACCCATTTTAAGACAATTTTTCATATGATGGCGAGGTAGGTATCTACCTTCATTGTTTTGCACTGGATAACATCTGTCTGTCCTGGCACCATTTTAAAAAAGAGACTATTCTTTCCTCACTGAATTTGTATTTGCATGCAACAAATAAATTAATCCTAAATGTAAGAATTTATTTCTGGACTTTCAGTTTTTTCCCCATTGATTTATATGTTATCCTTTTGTCAGTATTGCAATCTTGATTACTGAAGCTTTGTAGAAAGTTAACATAGAAGTTTGAGCCCTGCAACTTTGTTCTTTTCAAAATTGTTTGCCTCTTCTGAGTCCCTTAAATTTCTATATGAATTTGAAGATATGCACATCAGTTTCTGCAAAAGTCAGTTAAAATTTTGTTGGGAATTACATTGAATCCATAGTTCAACTTGGGGAATATTGCCATCTTAAGAATATTAAGTCTTCAGATATGTGAATATAGGATGTCTTTCCATTTATTTAGGCTTTATTTAATTTCTCATCAATCTTTTGTGGTTTTTAGTGTATTAGTCTTACAGTTTTTGTCAAATTTATTTCTAATTTTATTTTTTGTTGCTAATTTAAATGGAATAGATTTCATGATTCAACTTTTGTTTTACTCATTTTTAGTGTATAGAAAGTCAATATTTTTTTTTTATGTTGTGTTTTGTAGCTTGCTGGGCCTATTTATTCTCATTGAATTTTTTTTTTTTTGTGGATTTCCTAGGCTAGTCTATAAATAAGATCATGGCATTTGAGAGTAAAGATTATTTAGGAATTATGCTGAGGAATACATTTAACAAAGGAAATGTGGGCTAATATGCAGAAAGCTATAAAATATTGTTGAAAGAAATCAAGAAGATAAAAATAAATGGAAAATAGCTTATATTCATGGATTTAAAGACTTGTTAATATGGTAGGTAATTGCTCAAATTGATCTATAGATTCAATGCAATTCCTATCAAAATTCAAACTGCTTGTTTTTTGCAGAATTGATATTAATCTTAAAGTTCTTGTAGATATTTATGACACTCAATATAGGCAAAAGGATCTTGATAAAAGAACAAAGCTCTTAATTTCAAGATTTACTGCAGAACTATAGTAACTTCCCCAGGCAGTGAACAAAGAGACACCTGATTGATGATATTCTTATATTACTCAAGGATAGAACAGACATCTTACAGTCCTTTGTTCATTCTCGAATTGAGGCCTAGATTGGTGGCCAAAGCTGCTTTATGCCTGGAAAACGAAACGAAAAGAAACTATAGTATCAGACAATGTGGTACTAGCATATGGACAGATATATGTCAATTGACTAGAACTGAGAGTCCATAAATAAAACCCCACATTTGTGGACAAATGCCCCAAAATAAGTGCTCAAAACATGAACTCTTAAGATGAAAGCATAGATTTAATTTTTTTAAAAAATTTATTTATTTATTTATACAAGCACTGGGTACAGTCAGAAGTGTGGGAGGGTGAGAGAATTCACCAGAGCCAGGGGGAAGAGCAGAGCAGGCAGATTGACAAAGTACACTGCTGAGGGAAGCAGCGGGCGGCAGGAGAGGTCTGTGCACCATGTGGGACGCTCGCCCCGCGGCCGGGGATCGAACTGGCGCTGCAGAGGCTGTGGGCAGCTTTGCAACCCAGCGCTCAACCACTGCGCCACCAGGGGAGGCCTCATAGATTTAAATTTTTCTGACATTGGATTAGGCAACATTTTCTCACATATGGACATCTCAAGCACTAAGGGAAAAAAAATTACTAAACTGAACTTTATCAAAATTAAAACATTTCTTCATCAAAAGACACTATGAAAAAGAAAAAAGGCAGGGGGCCTCCCTGGTGGCCCAGGGGTTAAAGACCGCGCTATCAAGCTATCACCAGCCACTGCAGCACAAGTTCGATCCCCATCCGGCCAGGGAGCAACCGACATGGTGCAGCAGACCTCTCTTGTCTCGCCTGCTGCTCCTCTTAGCAGTGTATTTCAGTAGATATGCCTGTTCTACTCCCCACTCTGTCTCTGGTGAATCCTCTCACCCCCCCGTACCTCTGGCTTAGACCCCAGTTCTTGTATGCATAAATAAATAAATCTTTAAAAAAAAAAAAAAAAAAAAAAAGAAAAAGGCAGCCCACAGAATGGGAGAAAATTTTTGTGTAGCATCTATAATAGATAAAGAGCTCTAGAACACAGCAGTAAAAGGCAAATAACCCAAATTTAAATTGGACAAAACGTCTAAGTAGACGTTTCTCAAATAATGATAAATAGATGGCAGTGAGCAAATGAAAAGATGCCCAATATTATTAGTCTTTTGGGAAATGCAAATCAAAAATCACTATGAGGATACCACTTCATACTCAAATATGTATAATTAGAAGGATGGAAAATAAGAAGTGTGGGTGAGGAAATGGAAAAATTGGAACACTGATACACCTTTGGTGAGGCTGTAAAATGCTGCAATAACTGTGTAAAAGTTTGGAATTTCTTCAAAAAGTTAAATTTTTCATATGACTCAGCAGTTCTACTTCTAGGTGTATACACAGAAGAATTGAAAACATGCATTCATTCAAAGGTTTGTAACAAATCTTCAAGCAGCATTATCCACAATAGTTTCAAAATAGAAACAACCCAGATATGAATCAGTTGATGAACGGATAAACAAAATACCCATACAAAGGAATATAATCAAACCATTAAAAAACCCCGAAGTATTCATGCATGCTACAACTTGTATAAACTTTTGAGAATGTTTTCTAGATGAAAGACAAAAGAACATGTGTTCTTTCTTTCTATTTGCATTAACTTTCAAGAACAAGAACATCCTAACAGATAGTATGTTATTGGTTGCTTGTTGCTGAGAAAAGATGGTAGTAGTGGCTACCAATGGGTGCAGGGTTTTATTCTGGGATGTTGGAAATATTCTAGAATTAGATAGTAGTAATGATTACATAACCTTGTTTATATGCTAACAACTACTGAATCATATACATTAAAATGGTGAATTTTATGGCTTGTGAATTATATCTTAAAAAAAGTCCTGTGAGCTAAGCTTTTCCATGGAGCTTCCAGGCTGGTCAATTAGTGACAATTTTCTGGGGATGGGACTTTTTGCCCGTTGTAAACTCATTCATTCTCTTCTAGTAGCTGTTAAGCTGTTGTTTTCCACAACCAACATGGTTCCCAATATGCTGGTTTTCAATACTGCTGTAGGGCTGGAGAGAGGGGCATAAAAATAGGCAAGTTAAATATGCTGCAAACCTTGCCGTTTTTACCAAGATTTATTTTTTCAAGAAAAATCAACTACTTTTTTTGAGGCAATATTTTCCAGATTGTTGAAAATG